TATATATATATCAGTTTCAATGTCTTTCTGTTTTCATAAATATTTCACAGTCAACTGTTAGTTATGTCAGCTATACTTTAAAGCAGTGGAGACATTTCACCTCTCTGGCAGGCAGATGGATGAGTAGAAGAACGGTATGACTGAGTGTGCTGTGTCAAGTGTAAAGTTTGGTCCAGAGGGAGGATTACAAGCTTTTTAGAAGTTTCAGGAAAAAGGAACCTTCAGTGCTTCAACATACTGAGATATCTTGTTCTTATCGTCATGGGAACAGTTTAAGGATGTAAGGATGGCCCCTTTCTGCCTCAACATGACTGCACACCAGGATGCAAAGTCAAGTTCAATAAGGACTGACTGGTCTGCTCAGGGTTTGGACCTTAGTCTGACAAATTACCTTCTGGATCATTTCAAATGGAGGCCTTCCTGTCCAGCATCAGTATCTGATCTGACAGATCGGTCAGATATTCTCATGAATAAACTTCTAAACCTCAGGGATGGATGGGCCAACATCAAATTCAACCCTAGGTATTAAGAATGTCACTTAAGGTTGTGCAAGTTTGAAGGCAGAAAAGTGAATAATTTTGTCGCTGTAGTGAATATTTATTTCCTTTTGTCAATTTTCTTAAACAGGTTGTTAAAAAAACACTAATGGCCTCATGGAGTGTTTCATTTATCAGTATTATCTACAAAGTGCTAATTTTCTTTAATTGTCATCATGTGTGCATCAAACGTGCATAGTGAGCGACCAGTATTTCTTCTGTTAATTCAAAAGAATCTTATTAGAAACAAACTGGTTTTTACTGCCAACAGGAGCCCTAAATATGATCTCATGCTCCATCAACATGCAGCTCCATCTGCCTTGTGGTTTATCCATGTGTTCTTAAGCACACTGCAGATGGACAGTAATGCCCTCATGGATTTCTCCTTACATGTCTCAGACAGCCGTCCTTAATCTTTATTGCTGTATTGATGGTGAGCTCACGCAGATTAATGTAAGACAATAAAAAATATATTTAGGGACAATCTCTGATGTGGCAACGGAAGCAGTAACACAAGCAAGTAGTGGCAGGGATTTAGAGTGGTCAATGAGGCTCCCATGATCCTTTGGTAAGATGATCAAATCCATATAGCTAACTCTCCTGGGGGAAGGAAGCAACGGCCTTGATCTTCCTTGTTTCTACTTCGTGTTTGGTGAAATTCCCACAGGTAGAAATAGTTTGGCTGATAAAATCAGCTGAGGGGGTTGAAAACTCAGCGGATTTCCTGTTTTTCATGATGAACCATGAGTTTTTAACAGACTCAAGATTTTGGTTTGAAGGACACTAGCATGGTTTGTTATGGTTTTACATCGTGAGTTGGGAGCGGAGGAGATGACAGCATATCCATGGACTGGGCCGTGCGTACTGACATGTTGGTTGTTCTTGTCAGACTGACAAAGAAAGACAAATGTAGAAGACGAGGTGTTGAACATGCCAGAGAAACAGTAACTAAACAGCAGCTAATGCTAACTGGTCTGTGAGTGGAGGCTCATTCAGCGGATGCACCTTGAATATTATTAGTTTCAAACGTTCATGTTGTGTTGAGTCAAATTTGCAACCAAAACCTGAGAAATATGCATTAAAAGCTCAGAGCCTCGGTGAGGCCGACTCATTAATTATTCACTAATTAAATATCCAGAGTTTTGTTTTTTAACCCTGTGGAAGTTTCCTGAGATTGGACATAGCTTGTTTGGAGATCATCTGACCCGATAGATTTCACCTTCCACAGTTACTGTGCATTTTATGATTTCTCCATGAAATAGATGGTTTAAGAAGACATTTGGATCTGCGCTTCTACAGACTCGTACATCAGAGGCAAAAAAGAAGAAATGCTTCTTATGAGCTGCACTAAATTACAGTTACTTTTATGCAGTGAGTTGGACAAAAGCACATCTGATAGAACCAGAACATCCACAGAAAAGAGAAAAGACTCACAAAGCCAATGCAGAAAGAGTCCAAGCTGGGATTTTACCCAAATCATCATTATCGTTTCGCTTTTCTTAAATATATATATTAGAAAAAAATAAATAAATAAATATTATTGCTGTAAGGATATAGTGCAATGACACACATAATCATTTCTTCCTGTAGCCAGTGGGTTTTACAGTGTAAATGTCTGAGTAACTTCATTCTAATTTTCTCTGCACTCATTTATAGACTATCTATAGATCTCATATTTGCATGTGCATGCTTGTTATACCTTAAATTACCTCATTACTCTTAGCATATATCTCTTATACTTATATGATTGATATTTAATACCTTAGATGGAGTGGTTTGTCAACAAACAAACACATTCTATTCTATTCTATTCTATTCTATTCTATTCTATTCTATTCTATTCTATTCTATTCTACTGTGCTGCTATGGAAGAATTCAAAAGCAGCAGTTTTTCAGACTTTGTAAATTTATCACAATATACTGAATGCTCAGATTTCTTTGGTTCAAATGATAGGAGAACAGAGCAGTTCTTCTTCCTGGTTCGTTGTTCAGGTGGCTGTGTGTAGATTGATAGGTAACTGGTGGATAAATGCCTTGCTCAGAGGTTACCTCTATGGGTGCCAGGGGAGGAAAAATGAATCAAACTGACAATTTTCTGAATTCTTCCACTGAACAGCAGTTGCTCCAGTAAATAACTTAGGACTGAATCCACCAGCTCTCTAGAAATGTGTGCTCAGATCCGTTCAGTCAGTGCCCACGTTTCATCCCCTTAAACACTCATTCCGTAGGTTTCGTCCTCCGGATAAGAAGTGGAGACAGTTTTCCTGCCAGTATCAATCTGAAGCTCACCGCAGCAGCCTGCATGCTGCTTGTACTTAATGATTTTTGCTTTGAGAACACTGATTTGCCTCTGCTCTGTCAAGCATTACTTGTTCCCTGCTTTGTGTTCCTCCTGCTAATGTGAATCAATCACACACCACCAGCAGGGCCTGTCACCCCGTTGGAATAACGGAGAAAAAAGCGCCTCTTCGGTTCTGATGCTGTCAGGTCTGCGTCTCTGCTCTCCCATCGGCCCGTGATGTCATTCTGGAGCTCAGACTGTTGGCGTCTTACCGGATTAGATCCAGCAGAGCGTCGGCAGAACTCATGATGTGCTTCCCGCTGTCCTCAGAGTCCTCCTTCTGGGCCGCGCCGCCCGGGTGGATGATGGACACCATCATGATCCCCACGATCACAGCCACAAACGTGGTCCAGAGATAATACGACACGGTGATCAGGCCGAGCCGGCTGGAGCACTTGGCATCGAGAGCCGCCAGTCCAGACATCAAGCTGAAAGAAAGAAGAGTTGGATGTTTTTCATTTGTTCATGTTTCACAGAATCCGTAATAAAATGCTGTTTGCTGTTGTTCAAATACATATTTCTTCTTGCTGATTTCAAGCAAATTGAGCTTTTGTAAACTCTGAAAGTGTACAGGGCTTTAGCTATTCACAGATAAATAGAATTTATCATTCATTTCATTTTGAATAACAGAACCATTTTATCTTTTAAGTCCTCTTTGAATTTTGCATTTTTTTATTTAGTTTTCAGAAATTCGTCCTCAATTTCGTCTTTTTATTTTCCCCACACAAATGCAGTGTACAACACTGCATGTTACTGCTGTATTTATATTTTAAAAATGAATTATTTACTTGTGGATTTCAGTTGTGCAAAGCTCTATGTGTTGGAGTGTTTTATGAAACCCGCTCTTCATATATGGACTTGTTAATAAAGATTTTGTTTTTTGTCATAAATGGAGCAAACGTAAGTTGCATTTTAAATGTCAAAATAAATTTATACTGAAAGCGGCACTGCTTTTAATTAACTACTTTGTCATGGTCAATAATTTTCTGTGACAAATAACATTTCTCTAAATCAAACTGAGTTTGGGAGGTGGAGTGGAGGTGGAGAGTGGGCTCCCACTCAGACCTCCGACTCAGGTTTGATTCCTGACGTCTGCTGAACGTCTTATTTCTTCACCCTTTTCCTTTGTCCTGTAAAAAAAGCAACTAGAGCCACAAAAAAAAAAAAAAAAAAGAAATAGCTCCACAGTTGAACTCTATCGTCTTCTAAATGATTGATTCAGGCAGTAGCTTTTTCAGCTGCGTATCCCAGGATCATTTTTGTAAAATAAAAGTGACATTTTCAATTAAGTCAGTCCTTCCTCAAGATGAATGTGTAAGGTCATGCCGTCCTTGTTGACTAAGAAGTCATTAAAAATCAGAACCACATGCTGATGAGTTTTTGTAAAGATATTGTTTCTTTTTGCGATAGGGAACAAATGACGTCTGGCTGATTAAAAATATGTGCAGAGTTAAAAGTGTTTGCAAGTCGTCTTCTGATTTCTGCATCAGGTTCTTTATGTTTCAGACAAAACATCGTCACGTAACACAGCACCAGAGAGAGGTGGCAATATCTCAGATTTCTGCTGTCATGATCCTGACAGACCGAACTGGAATTAGATTTTTTTTTTTTTTTTTATGTTGGTCAACGGGGTTTAGTGTTGGACTTGAACATGAAGTAGGAAACCCTGAGGACATCAGCTGATTTGCAAGGACAAGAGGTCACCTAAGGTTGTTTAGTTCTCCGATTAGGAAAAGTAAAGTTTTCTATCGGCTTCATTGTGCATCTTCACAAGTTCTATTGCTTTTGTTTTGCTGATGATTCACACATTTCACATTTTCACACTCTTTGACTCAGAACACATTTCATCCTTAACACTATGACGACTAGGTCATCCAATATTGTTTATGCTTCAGTTTGAACATCTATATGTGGAGCCTTCAGTGGTATTGAAGGCTGAACCAGACTGTGAAGGTCCATAATTCTTTACCAAATATCTTGTCTGATTTCTCTAGACTTTTCCATGATGTCACTCAAGGAAGTTGCTCATAGTTCTGCCTCCAATTCAAACAATCCAACTGCAAACGTAGCGTGACACATGACCTTATCCTGTTAGCTTTACAACTTTGATTGGATAACCTAGAGCAGGTAAATCCTCCGCCATCTTTTTTTTGTTGTTTTTAAATCTCTGCCGAATTTCCCTTTCAGATCTGGCTCCAGTCACAGCAGCTGTGTTTCCATTACAAAATATCCTCAAATCTTTTTCTATATTCTGCTGATGTTGAAAAAACACAGTTTTGCAATTGTAGTTCTTCCTCAAGATGAATAAGGAACAAAATTAAAATCACTCATGAATAAGCTCCTTCACATCCAGTTGTTGATCAAGTGACTCGTGTGACGTGGAAAAAAATTTTCATTGCAGATTTGCGAAATACTATACATATCTTCTGATAAGGCTGAAAAACTACTGCTTTTTTTAATCAATTTTTTTTTTTCATAAAAAAACTTTATCAAAAGTGTGAGTTTCCATTGAGTGAATTTATTGTTGTAATTTCAATTAGCGCAAACCCACGGCTAATGGGAAAGGAGCCAGTGTGACTGAAATCACTGCGTTCACCCACTTCAGTGAATCAATAGGTTTCTCATTCGAGAAAAATTCACGTTTTAGCAGAAACCTAAAAATGAATAAGCAGGTGTTTGTTTTGACATCTCAGTAACAGAAGAATGAGGATGCTGAAGATGAATGAAAGAATTCTTACATTGCTCCAACATTCCTGCTGTGTTGGTTCACAACCTGAGCTGCTTAAACATATGACTCAGAGCGAGACTTTAATGTTTCTTTCATGACTGAACTGAAGCGATTAGAATTTGTAGAATTTTCAGTGGATCTTTTTCTTGGGTTCTGTTTAGCGATTCTCTTTATGAACATCTGAATCAGTATCTGACTGTTAGGCATCTTAAAATGCAGACCTACTGTTTTGCTTTGAAAAAACTTGAATGGAGACATTTGAAGCATTGTTGGTGATAGTAATAATAATAATGGCACACATCGCCAGCTTTTATTACTGAATGCAAAAGTTAGATTTCCTTAGAGTCAAGGCTGTAATTAAATATTTTTGCACTGAGGCATGAATCACATTTCTATCAACAGAAAGAAATTATAAACTGTGAGCTCCGACTCCAGCTTCGATTATCATATAAAGGAGAAGGACGATTGTTGTGTTTCACTAAGAAACAAAAGTGGTGTGTTCCAGAGTTGTTCTTGGTTTACATTATTTTTCCTGTCACGATTCAGTGGAACTTGATTATTAATGCTGCGGTCTATTCCTTTAGTCCTTTAGTCCCTGTACTGGGATCAAACCACAGAACAACAGCAACTTATGTATTCAGCCAACAGGCTGCTACGTTTATAACATGCATTTGTAACATTCTTCTGTAAATAATGAAGCATTATGTTATTTGTGAACAGAAAATGTACTTTCATAAGCAATATATGAAGACCTACATACAGTATACATGCCTTGTTGTTGCAAAGTGGAGTTCATGCAAACAACTCATTCCAGGGTTGAATTCCCAATGCCATCTTTCCAGTATATTAATAAGTATTTGAACACATTTAAGAGTTTCTTTGCTTCAACATGTACAATATTGCAACTACATTAAATTACTATTAAGTTATGCAACTAAGCAGGAGCATTTCAGATTATAATAAAACATTCTGCTAAATAAACTAAAAAGAAACAGACAGCTGCATCTGTAACCATCTGGTGACGCTTTAGATAAAAAACAAAACAAAACTGCTTTAATGCAGCTGGTCTCGTTATTGGACTCCATGGCCACCTATCCTAGGTAACCTGCCAGGCAAGAGGAGGTTTACTTAAAGAAGCGGCCACAAGGTACAACTGAAGGAGCTACACAGAGACAAAGCTCAGGACAGGAGATCTATAAACATTAACTAACAGTGCACTGTAAAATATTTGAAGGAGGTTTAACTTGAAATTGAAAGATGAACTTGTCCATTGAAATTTGTCCGTATTTCCAGATTATTATTTTTTTAAGTTGTAGTGCTTTGACAGAAACGCTGCGACCAAGATAGTCTTTAAAGAGCTGCCTTGAAAATGCAATTTAAGTCAACAAGAAAACAAGAAAACTGTTCATAAAGCTGATCTAACAACAAGTGACAAATTGTCTAAGCATTGTTTTTTAAGCTCATTAATATTAATGCTGCAATTTAATCCAAATAATTATTTCACAATACACAAGAAAAAAAAAACTGTCCTCACCTGGTTAAAGGACACATTTCTCTATTATTTTTACTCACAATAAAATACAGTAAAATAACTACTTAGTTTACTTTAGGATAGTTAAAGTTCTTGTTTCAAATTGCATGAAGAAATTTTGTGATCTGATAATGAATTTTATTAAACATCACAATGAATTTTGCTATGAAATATTTAGTGTGAACAGGACATTTATCCTCAAGTGTTGCATTAAAATGAACATTTTCCTTCATAACAGTCAGATCAATCTCAGGATACAAAAATAAGCCACTAAGCATTCTGGGAAATAGGCTCCACTGCTGTTTTATTCTTCTCTCAGTTGTTTTATGTGCTAACCTGAAAACTCTGGTTTATTCAAAAGTTGTAGGTTTGACAAAATTAATAAAAAAGTTAACACAACTTACTGCTGTAAGTTTATCTTTCACAAACACTACAAAATCTGAAACTCACTAAATTTATTTTACTTAAAGAGTAGAAGATAGACACAAATGCGGCTCAAATGTTTTACAGTGTGGTCCACTCCTTAGTTCTTGATGTCAAATGGAAGGAAACAGACAGAAGTCAGATGAAATTCTTATTGCCGTTTGTTGTAGAGGAACAGGTGCTCAGGTCAGATTAGAACAAAGCTGAAGTTTTTAGCCTTCACATAAAATGTCACATGGGACATAAACTCAAAATCTGAACCACGATGAAACCATAGTGAAGCTTGGTGGTGGTAGCATTATGCTGCAGGGATGCTTTCCTTACTTTACCTTTCTGCATAACCAGACCTTTATCCAAATTGATTTATATGACCAGACTTGAAAACAACAATTTGCAGACTCTTTTCATCCAACTTGAGTTACTGTGTGTTAAATTGTTAAGGTTTACCACATAAAATCCATAGAAAATGCCAAAGGGTTTGTGACACAATGTGAAAAAGTTGCAGCCCAGAGGTGTTGATTCTGGCCACTGCAGAGTTGTGGACAGGTTTGGTGGGGGCTGTGAGTGCAGGTACCTGGACACGACGAGTGGCAAAATGAGCATCTTCAGCATCCTCATGAGGAGTTCACCAGGAAACTGGAAGTACTTCACCTCCTGCCAGGAGCAGAGCACAGGACACAGCAGGGAGAGGTTCATTAAGGAAGTCCATGAAGGAAGGATAAGAAAAGCAATCTAATGACATTTAAGAAAAGGTCATGATTAATAATAGAGGATGGTAAAATAATAAAATAACTTCTGAATAGTCTGAATATTCCACCTTAGAAGCAACCAGAGGAATGAACAAAAATGAGGCTGGTGACATTGATTTTCCTTTTTTAGTTAAAAAAAACAAACCTGGTGCACACTACAGACATGGCAACACATTAGTGAATCTTTTGATTTTGTTATTGATCCCTTTTGCCTCAGAGACCCCTTCCTTTTTGAAGATAGTTACAGCCAGCCCAAAAAAACAAGGTCCTTAATTTTCTTTATGGTAAATGGTCTGTATTGGATAAGTACTTTATCAAATCAGATGATAATCAGATGCCAAATATAACTGTTTAACTCTCCCGCAGTTTCAGCGCAATGCTCAGGAAGAGCGGCAGATGTTACAGTCGGCTAACCGGGTAACCCATCAGCTCTTCAGTTTACAAAACCACAAAAAAGCTGCTGGAAAATGGCAACCAGGTCAGAATCGCACACAGCAAAAAGTTCAGGTGGAATGCACTCAACAACTCTTAGAAGGGTTGAAACTCTGCTCATGCAAGCCGGCAGATAAGTAAACTGACCAATAACATTTAGGCTTACCACGTACATGTGCCCTATGCTGCCCACCCCCACAGACTCACACAGATGTCTGAGATGTGGAGAATTTTTTATTTTTCCCCACAATTTTGTTAAAAGGAAAGGGGTTAGATAATAAAAAATAAAAAAATAAAAAAACAGTTTTTTTCTTTAAAGGAAAAATCAAAAGATATGCACAGCTGCAGGCTGTACTGACCGGCACCAGCACCATGACGGGTCAAGTGTCACATGGACACAATGACTGAGACAAACAAATCCGGGATTCAAACCAGCAACCCTTTGGTTACAGGATGAACTCCCACCACTGTCACCCATTTAAGGCTCTGTTTTCTTGGAAGAAAGCTAACTGACATGTAGAGGTCATGACCTCCTCATCTACCCCACTTAGAAAAAAAAATACACTGCCAGAGGAAAAAAAAATCAATCAAACTGAGCTTTAGAGACCAGGGCTGACACATCTGAACACAATGCTGACTGAGAGACGTCTGTTTCAGCTGCAGAAAAAAAAGCAGGCAGGAACTCTAACAGCCATGCCGTATGCACTGATTATCGGTGATAATCTGTTAAAGGATTTTTATTGTGCAAAATCCATTTTCTTCAATTTATTGTCACGTTATAAAGCTCCATCAAGCACATATCCAGAGTGTTGCTTTGATTTTTGTCTGAGGAATCCTTGAATCTGCAGAAGCAAGAACTTCACCACCTCCTGCTGGATGAACCTGCACAGTCTTCTGTCCAGGACTTCACAGAGGATGATCAATACTAAGAACCAAATGAGCCCTGACACAATACTCAACCTCTTGTCACATAATCCTCCCCTGATGATTAATTGGTTCATACATGCAAAACTCCCACTGCTGTGTGTTCAGAGTAAAGCCCAGGACCTGGGTCTCAGAGAGCTTTTTAATCCAGCTCATAATAGAAGTACAGCAAAACTATGAAAATAGTGGCTAATGTCAAATCTCAACATCTGCAGCACTCAGTTAAAGGGTGTTAAGATAAGGTAACTAAATATACTCAATATTTCAATAGATTTTTTCCCATTCAGTTCATTTAGATGGTGTCAACTGACAGTAAATATGGCATTAAGACACTACAGAAAAAAGTCAATTTAATCCAACCATACATATAAAGTCAATTCAGTTTTAATCACTGGTTTATTTTTGCTCTCAATCCTAATGTTAAGTTTCATGCCTTTTGCTCCATGGGCCAAAACTTCCAAGTTAAAAGTAATCAGGGGCCACGTTTTTGTTTGTTTCCAAATTGATTGCAATATTTCTGTTTTATGATCTTTAGATGTTTGGGCTTTTATTTTTGTTTGGTTTTGATTATTGCCTTGGTGTTTATTTCTGTTCAATAGTTAATCCTCAGGTTGCTGGTCTGTATTAATTATTATTAGTAAGGTGTTACCACTTTAGTTTATTCATTGGTGTTTAGTTTCTTAGTTTATTTTTGTGTTTTGATCTCTTTATTTACTTTTGAGTCTTAGGCTACATTCACAGAGTAGGCAAAAGTAAGCCATATTTTTTAACTAAGTCCAGGCCATCTACTGTTTGTGTCAGTCAGAACAGACCAGCTCCAGTCTTTCCACCCTCCAAAACACTGGTACAGGTTTCCACTGGATGTACTAAAACACACAATCAGGGAAAATTAGATTTTAAGTATGAAACCAACTTAAAGAAGATGGGTAGATGGAGTGAGAGGTTCTTGGATGGAACACTTTTAACCCTTGACCTTTCGAAATGTGGTAGCAGTGACACTTCAGTTGACTCTCATGCATGGTGATTTACACGGTCTTTAAAAGGTGAGACTCCCTGTTACCCATGTAGACATGGGAGCATTGCTCTGACACCCACTGCTGCAGCCAGCATGCCTAGGTGGGACCCATGTGGGGGAAAGGAGGGCTGATATATAGGTCCCATATGGGTTTGTCCGCGGGTTCCACGATGGCCCCACATGGGTTTGCCCATGTAGGGCCACAGCCCACATGGACGCTACATGGGCCCTAAATGGACAAACCCATGTGGGGCCATCATGGAACCCGCGGACAAACCCATATGGGACCCATATAGTCTGCCCTCCTTTTCCCCACATGGGGCCCACCTAGGCATGCTGGCAGGGGGTAGGAACGTATGGATCATGACAAGAACTGTGGTGCTGCCTCATCATGCTCCAGATACTAAGAGGAGAAATGATGAGCTAATCTGTGCAGAGCATTGCAAGAATGTCATGACCGCATGAGCTCAAACACAAAAAGTTTTCTAATGACCAAAAGCTTGCTGTCAGCCACATGGAGACTGTTGCTATGCTGATCCTTCTGGCTGTAACTGTTGGACAGCAGGCTGTATTGCTGTGCTTGTTATTAGTCGATCATGCTGGGTTGAAGTCCATTGCCAATATTTATAAAACCAGCGCATTTCAGCTTAGTTTGTCATTGTCAATACACACTAATCACTAATCACACTAATTATCTCATCATCATCCCATACGATATATTTGGGGCAGTGATAATTTTGTCATCAAAGTTGATTTGTGAGAAGCTGGCGAAAAAAACATAGGGGGAGGACTTAAGCCAGAATCAAAATTGGTCCAAGAAAAGAACAGGGATGAACTGCAGATGGCTCATGGGCTGGAGGGGCTTACCGAACCACATGGGATGCTAAATGCTATTCCATGTGTTCAGATGAACCAGTGCAGCTCAAACTGCTGGTCCTGATAGAAAGGTGTTAGAATACAAAGAGGATTACAGTTTGGTGCGTTTATGGCTACATAGCAACAGACCAGTCAGGACGGAGACAGCTACGGCATTAAAGCAGATAAACGTGTCTTGGTAAAAAAGCAACAATGGTTCAGGAACGGCTTAGTGAACACAGAAAGGTTTGGATGTTACATTGGCCTCCAAATTCTCAATCCAAATGAGACACTGTGGGATGTTCTGGTCAAACAGACCTGATCCATGGAGTCAGGTTTTCCAGTCCAGCTGGTCAGCTGCCTTCTTGGCTGCTGATCTGATTAATGATAGGCTGGCATCAGCAACTTAGCTGCCAGCGCTGGCGAATGAGAGGATTACTCTCTTGTCTCAGCTTTGGAGATGCTAGGGACTAACATACCTGCTCTGCTGTACATTAATATGGACAAGTTGGTGCTAGCATTAAAAAAACTAACAAGCAGCAGCTGATGGCTGACATTCAATAATCTTAATGCATGTAATATTAAACACAAGAGTCATTAATACTCAATGATATCATGAATAATCTGTCTTTACAATCACAGATATTGTATATGTCAATCTTTTCTCATGATATTTTTTTCTGTGTTGACATGTGTAATCCAGTGGTTGAGCAGCTTGGACATGCTAGTTGTTAGCCTCTAAAATGCTAACACGAGTAGTCTCATTTTGGTGCCATCGTTAATCGGATCAGTAGCTGCCTTAAGAATGGACATGTTGTCCTGTGACAAAGATGTTGCCATCGCTGGTTGTGCTGTAGCTTGAATTTTGGCCCTAATGCCACACCTTATGAGGAGGTAGTATGTAAGTGAAGAAGCTTTGAGATCGTTCAGCTGCACCACATGCTGAGCAACCGTCACCCTGCCAACCCTCTGCTCGACTGTATGATGTTTTTCTAAAATGCCCAGTTTTAGTTTTAGACATTTAGCCTAGCTAGTTAGCATAAGAGTTTCTTCTGAAGCTCTGGTGATAATCAGGCCAGAGTTCAGCAAGGAAAATTTATTCCAGTGTTGCAAATAATTGTAATTCATCATGGTAAATTTATGATTTAACAAGTGGAGTAATTATGCATTCATTTAATTTCATGTTTGTTTGAAATATCATAAATTAAATAATTATTTGGAAAGTACCTTTTGTATTTCATGAGGTCTGTCTAATTTAATATTACAAGAATGACAAAAAAGCCTCTAGTGGTTTGCAGTATTTACCTGCATTGTGCAATCGGGCATCAATCACCTGAACAGAAAGAAGCATGAAAGTGAAAAGGAACTAAATGGAACTAAAGTCCTTTGGAAGCTCCAGTTTTGCAGACAGGAGATGCCAGTGCAACCATTGTGACAGACTGAGCTTTTCCACTCTTGTCCTTTGATACTTGAGTACGTAGATTTATTTCCACTTAAACACAATCCATAACTCTTAGCGAAAAGCTCATCTGTAACCAGCAAACATGGCGCTCATGTGTTTTGTCTCGTCCTCTGGGCTGCTGCCTCTCTGCAGACCAATCTCATTTTTTCACTCTGTCAAAACAAACTTGGCCATGGATCAGGGGTTTGAAAAAGCTTCTTAGGACGTTTTTTTTTTT